TATGCGCCTGTAGTCCCAACTACTTGGGAGGCTGGGGCAGGAGAGTTGCTTGAATCCAGGAGGCAAAGGTTGCAGTGAGCCAAGATCACACCGTTACACTCCAGCCTGGGTGACAGGACGAAACTCAGTCTCAAAAAAGAAAAAAAATACAAAATTAGCTGGGCGTGGTGGCATACACCTGTAATTCCAGCTACTTGGGAGGCTGAGGCATCAGAATCACTTGACCTCAGGAGGTGGAGGTTGCAGTGAACCAAGATTACACCACTGCACTCCAGCTGGGGCAACAGAGTGAAATTCTGTCAAAAAAAAAAAAGAAAGAAGAAAGGAGGGAAGGAAGGAAGGAAGGAAGGAAGGAAGGAAAGGGCAGAAGGGCGGGCAAGTAGCACACCTGATATGTGGATGCTCTTCTAACACTTTGGGGCCTACATCAAGAATGAAAGTTTCTTCCTCACCCTGTCCTAAAGGGGATATGTGCAGTGGGGCTGTCCTTAAGAATTCAGTTTGATGCACCCTCTGTAGCCTATCAGCCAAGAGTGAGAAACACCGTGAGGCCACAGCTCCATCTCACCCACCCCCTCGCCAGCCCCTGCTTTCCTGCATTCACCCAAACACTTGCCCCTGTCCCTCAACATTCCTAGAACCTTCACTGTCCTCTGAGGTCAGCGATGTATTTAAAGCACTTGTTTTCATCCTGTTCCCATCAGTAAGATTTAATGTAAGATACTCAGAAGGGAAATTCCACTCTCTTTCCTTCTGGGAAATGAGTGGCTACATTGTCCAGACCCAAATCCTTAGCCTAACATTTCTGCCAAAATCCAAAAGTTCATGATTTCACTGAAATAAGGCCACACACATCTTAGGCAACCAAAAGTACCTCTTCACATCAACATGTAAGCTTCACTTTTTCCCCTCCTTTTATAAAAGAAAGGGATTGGGTTTTTTTTTGTTTTTTTTTTTTTTTGTTTTTTTTTTTTTTTTTGAGACGGAGTCTCGCTCTTGTTACCCAGGCTGGAGTGCAATGGTGCGATCTCGGCTCACCGCAACCTCCGCGTCCTGGGTTCAGGCAATTCTCCTGCCTCAGCCTCCTGAGTAGCTGGGATTACAGGCACGTGCCACCATGCCCAGCTGATTTTTTGTATTTTTAGTAGAGACGGGGTTTCACCATGTTGACCAGGATGGTCTCGATCTGTTGACCTCGTGATCCACCCGCCTCGGCCTCCCAAAGTGGTTTTTTTTTTTTTTAACTCTTTCACAAGATCTAAGTAACTTGATTTTTGTGCGTGTGCTTTTTTAACATTACAAATCCTTTAAAGTGGATAGAGTTGGAAAATATTCATTTCAATGAACATTAAACAGCTCAACAATGTCCCCTGCTGGCCATGAGCATAGAGAGAGAGAACCTGAGCCACTAAGCCTCTATTCCGCCCTGAAAAACAAGATAGGAATAAGTGTCTCAAAATGAAACCCCCTACCCTCTACTCAAAAAAATATGCACTGGTCATTCAAACCAGAAAAGCACAGCATCCGAATATGATAAAGACCACAGAGTAGGAAATGGAGACGAAATCACTATTCATTTTAATAAGTAACCATGGAAAGAAATCCCCAAACTGATTTGTCTCTGCAGCCCAAAATGTGGAGAATTCTTTTTGGTTGCAAGTATTCATCTACTAACCAGACATCTCCTCAACATCAATACTACCCACAGGCTGTTGTTTTAAAATTTGGGGCTGTTATCTATTGGTACCATTCTTACCCATTGAGGATTTAATGTAAAACATACAAACAAAAATCACTGTCTTCAAGAAGCTCCTGTTTTAGTAGGAGAGAAAGAAAATGAACAAAAGAGCAAAAAGTTTTTAGAAAACAAGCTCTAGGCTGGGCACAACGACTCATGCCTATAATCTCAGTACTTTGGGAGGCCAAGGAGGGAGGATCACTTGAGTCCAGAACTTCAAGACCAGCCTGGGCAACATAGGGAGACCCTCATCTCTATTAAAAAAAAAAAAAGAAAAGAAAAAGAAAGAATCTTTTAAAATTAGCCAGACATGATGGTGTGCACCTATAGTCCCAGCTACTCAGGAGGCTGAGGCAGGAGGATTGCTACAGGCCAGTGGTTCAAGGCTGTAGTGATTTTAATTGCACCACTGCACTCCAGTGCCTGGGTAATAGAGTAAGACTCTGTCTCTAAAAAATAATAATTAATAATTTTTTTAAAAAAGCTCTATGAAGAGATTCAAGCAGGGATACAGAGTAGTAGCATGGAAACGTGATGGCATTTGAGCAGACACCTGAACAATTATGGAGAAGTCATATATTGACAGTGTCCCAGGAAGTGCGAACTGCCGATGGAAAAGTCTGGATCTTGAAAAACCTTTGAACCAGTTAAGGAACTGCAGGAAGGCCAGGGAGACAGCTGATGCTTAATAGGAAAGGAGGAGGGCAGGGGGAGATGACTCCAAAGTAGGCAGGGGCCAGATGACATGCTCCATGGTGAGGAATTTGGATTCCATTCTAACTTTAATGGAAACTCACTGGAGAGTTTTGAGCTGGTGCTGACATGTTCTCAAATGCATTTTTAAAAGATCACTCTGAGTGCTGAGTGATCTTTTTAAAGTTATGGTGAAGACAAAGACTGGAGTCCAGGGTGGGAGGTGTCATAGTCAAGAGGAAACCAGTTTGAAAACTACAGCAGGAGTAAGAGGTTGCTGTCTTGGATGAGGGTAGTCGTGGGAAAGGCACAGGTGAGGAGAAGTGGTTGAATTCAGGATATATTTCAGACAGCAAGCCAACAGCCCTTGTTGACAGATTAGAAATCTGGGGATGGGACAGAACCAATTGGCCTGAACAATTGGGTGTACAGGAATGCCAGTAACAGGCAGAGACAGAGAAGCCTGGTGGAAAATAGATTTGGGGGCGAGGGCAGAGGTGAGAAACCACAAGTTCTGCCTGATTTGCCCGTTAGATGTTCAATAGGATGTGTGTGGAAGATGGGTGGATATAGGAGTCTGGTGCTCAAAGGAGAGGCTGGGACTGGAAATTTATCTTTGGAAATCCTCTGCATATAGGTAATATTTATAGCCATGAGACTGATTGAGATAACCTAAGCAGAAGGGGTAGATAATGAAGAAACGGAGACTAAAGAAGGATCATAAAAGTAGATGGAGCTAGCAAAGAAGACTGAGAGAGGATAGCAAGGCAGAAGGAATCAAAACCAAGGGAGAGGGGATTTCAAGAGGAAGGGAGTGTCAATGCTGTTAAGGAAATCAGGTAAGAACAAAACTGGGCCAGGCACGGTGGCTCACGCCTGTAATCTCAGCACTTTGAGAGGCCAAGATGGGCAGATCACGAGGTCAAGAGATCGAGACCATGCTGGCCAACAGGTCGAAACCCCATCTCTAATAAAAATACGAAAATATCTGGGCATGGTGTCATATGCCTGTAGTCCCAGTTACTCAGGAGGCTGAGGCAGGAGAATCACTTGAACCCAGGAGGCAGAGGTTGCAGTGAGCCTGGATTACGCCACTGCACACCAGCCTGGCAACCGAGCAAGACTCCACATAAAAAAATAAAAATAAAAAATAAACGGGCCATTGGATTTGGCAAGATGAGGATCAAACAGCCTTTCAGTAAGGCAATGAGACCTATGCTTCCTAAGTTGGATGAGTGAAAGTGGAAAGAGGAGGTAAGCATGTGGAGCCTACAGAACAGCCATTTGTTTCAGGGAGTTTTCATAGAGAAACTCCTTGTTTCGTATTCACTCAGAACATGTGTGAAGCGGGGGTCACAGATGTGAAGACGGAGGAGCAAAGGAGCGGAAAGTGAATTTATTGGGAACCTATAGCGGGACTGCAATCACTGTTCCCTGATAGGAATCTACACCTTCTTTTTTTTCTTTTTTTTTTTTTTTTTTTTTTGAGACAGAGTTTTGCTCTTATTGCCCAGGCTGGAGTGCAGTAGGGTGATCTCAACTCACTGCAACCTCCGCCTTCCAGGTTCAAGTGATTCTCCTGCCTCAGCCTCCTGAGTAGCGGGATTACAGGCACCCACCACCACGTCTAGCTAATTTTTGTATTTTTAGTTGAGACGGGTTTCACCATGTTGTCCAGGCTGGTCTTGAACTCCCTATCTCAGGTGATCCGCCCACCTCAGCCTCCCAGAAGTGCTGGGATTATAGTTGTGAGCCACTGAGCCTGGCTAGTAATCTACTCTTAAAGCACTTGCAACAGAATGCCAACTAAATATTACTGAGAAAGAAACAGCCACAAGCATCTTTTGTTTAAGTATGAAGTATTTTAAATACTTTAAACATCCAGAAGGTATATAACCAACACTATGGACACACCCACATTTCTTCAATGCTAACATTTTGTTTCAGTTATCATTTTTTCCCCCTGTAGACTTCCCCCGTGGTTATGAGCTATCTTTTTAAGAATAAAACATAACAGGCTGGGTGCGGTGGTGTACACCTGTAGTCCCAGGACTTTAGGAGGCTGAGGCGGGTGGATTGCTTGAATCTAGGGGTTCAAGACCAGCCTGGACAACATAGTGAAACCCTGTCTCTACAAAAAATACATCTCCTCAATACCAATACCACTCACTAGCTCTTATTTTAAAGGTTTGGGCTGTTATGCTATCTATCAGTACCATTCTTACTCATCTCTACAAAAAACATTAACCAGGCGTGGTGGCCTGCCCACCTATAATCCCAGCTACTCAAGAGGCTGAGGTGAGAGGATCACTTGAGCCCAGGTCAACAGCCTCTGCGCTCCAGCCTGGGTGATAGAGCTAGACCCTGCCTCAAAAAAAGAAAAAAGAATAAACTGTAACAGTCACATCTGTAAGTGCCTTAAGGCACCTCTCCAATTCCATGTCCTACCTCCTCTCCCTGTTAAACTTTATTATATAATGATAAAAAGCAACAATGTTCCTCTTTATCTGGGCCTATGAACAGGTCTGTGGTAACTTTGTTAATCCAAATGCTGGTGTTCAAGATTTACCTGTTATCTGGGTTGTCAGGGAGATGACCACAGGAAATTCCGAAGACAAAGCCCGGAGACTGACATTGTAGTTGGTCCCCGGATGCAGTTCCAAGCACACCTCAGGATCTTGGCTGCTGGTGCTGATGTTAAAGGTCATTTCCCGAACAAATTCCTTCTGATACCATCTCTGGCCCCAAATGTGGAACTGAAACATAAAAAAAGCTCACTAGGTGAATGCTTGGCCTGAAAAACTTTAGATGCCTTGAAACCTCCCTTTTTTCTTTCTTTCATTTATTTTTATTTATTTATTTATTTATTTATTTATTTATTTTATTTTGAGACGGAGGCCTCTGTCACCCGCACTGGAATACAGTGGCATAATCTCAGCTCACTGTAGCCTCAACCTCCCAGGCTCAAGTGATCCTCCCTCCTCAGCCCCACAAGTAGCTAGAACCACAGATGTGTGCCAACACATCCAGCTAATTTTTGTATTTTTTGTAGAGACGGGGTTTCACTATGTTGCCCAGGCTGGAATCAAACTCCTGAGCTCAAGCAATCCGCCCACCGTGGATCCCAAAGTGCTGGGATTACAGGTGTGAGCCCCCACGCCCGGCCCTTTCCCTTTTCCATGAGCTTTCTTCCTCTCTCTCTCTTTGGGCTCTCATGTTTCTTCAAAAAGTAAAATGCAGCAGTAAGCAAACATTAGAGCTGCAATGCTATAAATATGGTACTTACAATATTATTAGCATAATGAATCTATTTTTAGATTTATTATAATAAAAAAAAACACAAAAGCCTGAGGTCCCAATACCAGCGACTTTCTCCTTGTTCTCACACATACAGTGAACATGCCCAACAAGAAAGTCTGTTGGCAAAACTGCAGGAGCAAGGACAAGAATGTTTTCCTAGAAAGAATATTAGGAATCCAAACTAAGCAGGAACTGAATTAGAATACTCATAGCTGGTCTGGTAGAACCTGAGAAGGGTTTTTCTTCTCTGCCTGCCTCCTTCTGGAGACTCTACCCTTTCCTTTACCACCCTGACATTTTGGCCAAGAGACACTCTTCTTCTTACTTAATTTCTTCTAGTAGAAGTTCATCCCACAGTCTTTCCTTTTTTTTTTTTTTTTTTTCTTTTTTGAGACAGAGTCTCGCTCTGTCTCCCAGGCTGGAGTGCAATGGCATGATCTCGGCTCACTGCAACCTCTGCCTCCGGAGTTCAAGCAGTCTCCTGCACCAGCCTCCCAAGTAGCTGGGACTACAGGTGCGTGTCACCACACCCAACTAATATTTGTATTTTTAGTAGAGACAGGGTTTCACCATGTTGGTCAGGCTGGTTTCAAACTCCTGACCTCAAGTGATCCACCTGCCTCAGCCTCCCAAAGTGCTAGGATTACAGACCTGAGCCAATGCACCTGGCTAGTCCTTCCCTTTCTTACTCACAACCACATTGAGCTTCAAAAGTTCCCCTTGGCTCTCCAGGCAACACATCCAGACCCTGGCCAGAGACACTGATAAGGACACAGACACACATGCATAGGCCACTGGACTCCTTCCATGGAAACCATCTAAGCATCAACAGCACCAAGATATGAGCACAAAGAAATTCTCGGCCAGGCGTGGTGGCTCATGCCAGAAATTCCACCACTCTGGGAAGCTGAGGCAGGAAAATTGCTTGAGGCCAAGGGTTTGAGACCAGCCTGGGAAATAAAATGAGATCTTGTCTCTACAAAAAAATTAAAAATTAGCCAGGCATGGTAGTGCACACCCATAGTCCCAGCTACTCATGAGACTGCAGCAGGAGAATCACTTGAACCCAGGAGTTCAAAGGTACAGTGAGTAATGATTGTGCCACTGCACTCCAGTGTGAGTGACAACGCGAGACCCTGTCTCTAAAAAATGAGAACATGTGGACACAAAGACGGGAACTCCGGGGCCTACTTGAGGGTGAAGGGTGGGAGGAGAGAGAGGATCAGAAAAAAAAAAATGCCTATTGGGCACTATGCTTATTACCTGGGTGACAAAATAATCTGTACACCAAACCCCCGTGAAACCTTAGGCCAGGCGCGGTGGCTCCCATACAATGTACCTACATAACAAACCTGCACATGTGCCCCTGAACCTAAAATAAAAGTTATATAATAAAAATACATTTCAAATGTTAAGAAAAAGAAAAGAAGAAACTCTTATGGCTGTCTCATCTCTCCCATGGTTTCTCTTTTTTTTTCTTTTTTCTTTTTTCTTTTTTTTTTTTAGAGACAGAGTCTTGCTCTGTCTCCCAGGCTGGGATTCAGTGGCATGATCTTGGCCCACTGCAACCTTCTCTCATGGGTTCAAGTGATTCTCCTGCCTCAGCCTCCTGAGTAGCTGAGATTACAGGCGTGCACCACCATGCTTGGCTAATTTTTATATTTTTAGTAGAGATGAAGTTTCACCATGTTGGCCAGGATGGTCTTGAACTCCTTGCCTGAAGTGATCCACCCGCCTTAGCCTCCCATAGTACTGGGATTACAGGCGTGAGCCACTGCACCTGGCCAAAGGTTTCTGTCTTTAACTATGCAGTAGAAGTGGCCATCTTCTTGCTTCTTGATGCAAATGCCACAGAAAATCATGTATTGATAATGATAGTTACAGACCTAGATGTTTAGGTTTGTGGATATTTTTAAGCCTCTCACATAAGACAACCATCTATAAATATAGTAACTTTCAGTCACTTACTAAATACATCTCCTCCATGTCAACTTTCTTGATGATATTCCATCTCAAGCAAGTTTCATTAAATCCTGAAATGTTACTGATGGTCTGTTTTACTGCAGCGGAAAAGAAATGAGAAATCAATTTACACTCTATAGAAAGAATACTACCTTTTAATTGAGTCATTTTTAAAATTAACACAAGGATAAGCATTAGCATAAGATGAGTTCAACAGTATTTTAATTTAGGAATTAGTGGTAGCAGTCTCAAAGAAATGCTACTTTTATATTTAGGTAAACTCAGTCTTAATGAAAAATTTCAGATCCAAAGATACCTAATCGGAGGGCCCCTCTTAAGAATTATTTGAGTGGCCCGGGCACAGTGGCTCATGCTTGTAATCCCAGCACTTTGGGAGGCCAAGGCAGGCAGATCACTTGAGGCCAGGAGTTCAAGACCAGCCTGGCCAACATAGTAAACCCCCATCTCTACTAAAAATACAACAATTAGCTGGGGATGTTGGTGTCCACCTGTAGTCCCAGCTACTTGGGAGGCTGAAGCAGGAGAATCGCTTGAAACTGGGAGACGGAGGTTGCAGTCAGCTGCGATCGTGCCACTGCACTCCAGCCTGAGTGACAGAGTGACACTGTGTCTCAAAAAAAAAAAAAAAAAGAAAGAAAAAATTATTTGAGTCTATTCACTGCAAAATTCCTTGGCTTACTAAGCTAAAATTGCAACTCTTGGTCCTGGGCCTTGTATACTCTCATTTATACAAATAAGTGTCAGTTTGAAATTCTGAACGGAGAGCAACATTACAACAGAGAATTGATCCTTGAGGAACTGAAAAAAGCACTTTCAAGCAATTGGATTTTCCATAAGGAAAAGAATGTTGGGGGCGGCAGGATTCTCTTTGTTTGGGCTTCCTTATCTCTTATGAGCAAAGAAATATTTCTTGTCCTCTGCTCAGTTTCGTGGTAATCAATCTAAAAGACAATTCAGTTTGATGTAGAGGTACACCCCCACTCAAGTAGTCAAGAAAGGCTATTTATTCAAAACCCTGACATCAGAGGTTACTTCCTTCAATAATGATCTCTGTCTCCAAACTGGAAATAATAGAGCAGACTTGCTAAGAAGTTTCACAGGAACACTGTGATGAATAACGAGTGACAAAGACAAATCCCAAATTACCTGAAAAAAGGAAAGCCCCACGAAAGGTAAGGCTGTATTTTATAACCCCCTGGCCTGTCAGGTTCCTAAGAATAAAGCCAAGTTGGTAGACATGAGCCCTCTCTATGGATTGGGCAGCTCGGCACAGAGAAAACCCCCCGTATAGGTCACAAGCTGTACCACAGAGCAGGTAAAGAACAGGAGGGAAAGACGAACAGGGGGTAAGGAACAGGAGGAATACAGATGATTCCGGGTAACGCAACCTCACAGCTGGGTACAGAAGACAGGTTTGGAGACATGTAGTACTGATCCAAAGTTACACTTCTGAAACTTTCAAAATAAAAATAACTCCAATAGTATTTAAACAGTTCTAGACTATACAGAAAGGTGGAAGATTCCCCAGGTCATTTAATATGACTAAATAATCCACAATGCCCAACCTGTGCAAGGATGGCACGCCAAACTCACTTGTTAATATAAACACAAAAATCCAAAATAAAATATTCACAAAAAGAAGTCGGTAGTACATTCAAAGAACAATACACTACTATGACCAAAGACGATTTATTCCCAGAATACAGAGAGGATCCTCATTGGAAAAGCTATTAATAGGCTTAAAAGAGAGAAATCATGTGGTTAGTTTTATAACTGAAACTGTTAATACACTTAATATACACTTTGTTAACTTGAAATCCTAGTGAGCTAGGACTTCATTTGACAGAAACTCCTTAGCTTAATACAGTTTATGAGAAACACCCATACTCAGTGGTAAAACAATTAAGCAATTTCCAGCAAAGTTAAGAACAATATAAGGATGCCTGTCTTGTAGCTATTATTGAGCCTTATTCAAGAGATTCTAGACAATACAGAAAAAGGCAAGAAAAAAAAATAAGCTATACATGCCAGAAAGAGAGACAAATATGCAACTGCCAGTAAATCCAAGAGACCCAACTAATCAAATATGAAACTGTTTGAAAATAAGAGAAAGGTAACATTAAGAAAACTGATCATTTTCTATTTATCTTCAAGAACAAGCATGGTAGGCTAAATAATGATCTCTGCCCCCCGCCAGCAAGTCTTCATCCAGTCCCTGGAAACTTACACAGCAGAAGCACTTTGCAGAGGTGACTAAGACAGTGAGATTATCCTGAATTATCCAGATGGGCTCAATATGATTACAAAGATCCTTAAAGAGGATGACAAGAAGAATAGAGTTAGAGAGAGGACTTAAGAACGGAAGCGGAGGTTAAACTGATAAGCTTTAAATATGAAGGATGGAGCCACAAGCCAAGGAGTATAGGCAGGCTCTAGAAACTGGAAAGGGCATGAAAATAGATTCCCCTATAGATATCCCCCTGAAGAAATACAGGCCTGGTCACACTTTGATTTCCGCTTAGTGAAACTGATTTCACACTTCTGACTTCCATAACTATAAGATACTAAATTCATGTTCCTTTTTGTTTTTGTTTTGTTTTGTTTTTTAAGACAGGGTCTCATTCTGTCACCTGGGCTAGAGTACAGTGGCCTAATCATGGCCCACTGCAGCCTCGACCTCTGGAGTTCAAGTGATCCTCCTGCCTCAGTCACTCAAGTAGCTGGGACCATGGGCACATGCCACCATGCCTGGCTTATTTTTTATTTATTTAATTGTTTTGGTAGAGACAGGGTCTCTATGTTGCCCAGGCTGGGCTTGTACTCTTGGGCTCCTACTTTGGCCTCCAAGCCATCCTCCCACCTCGGCCTCCCAAGGTGCCAGATTACAGACCACCATACTCAGCTAACTTTTGTATTTTTAGTAGAGACAGTGTTTCACCATGTTGGGCAGGCTGGTCTCAAACTCCTGACCTCAGGTGATCTGCCTGCCTCAGCCTCCCAAAGAGCTGCGATTACAGGTGTAAGCCACTGCACCTGGCCACCACAATTATTTTCTTATAGATCTATTTTATACTGGTTGAGAAAGCTTTTATAGACCAATACACATATTAAATTTTAATTGTGTAAGACAAAAATGTAAGCAAAATTAATTGAAACATTCCTAAAATTTCTTCATGGTCAATATATAACAAACACTTCCCTACAGCAAGGCCATTTGATATGAGAGGTAAAAAAAAATACTTCTCAATCACTTCTCAATTAAGAGTTATTGGTGCCTATATTTTTCCACACAATAGCATCCTATGTGCTATCTATTCAGAGTCTGGAGAGATAGTATTTCTTTAAAATGTGCTCTTTTTTTCCCACCGAACTTTCTTTCCACTAACACCCATTTTGATGCTGAAAGTTGATCTTATACGTGGCTGTTCTGTTCCGATGATGCTTTACACATATAATAACACTGTGCCTCAATGTCAAATCATAATGTAGCTGTTTGGAAAAAGTTTTAGTAGGTGATTGAACTCAAGACACAAATGGCACCACTAATGTCCATAAATAAACAGAAGCGACAGCACTACAAGCAACTATGACCAATACGGTACATAGATGGACAATGACAATTATGTTCTTGGGAGCCACCTGACTGTATCACAATTGTAAAATTTCATAGATATCAAAATATGAAAAAAAGATGCCTCTGAGAATCAATAAAACATAACATACACAAGTATATTAGCATACACCAGTATATTATTGTCTGTAATAACAAAAACTTGAAAGGGAAAAAGGATACCCAAATAACCTTCTATAAAGAATAAGCTGATAAATAGTATCCCTTCATATGATGGAATACTGTGCTTCCCTCAAAGAGAATGAGATGAAATTAAATGAACTGGTATGGAAGTATGTCTACAGCATATTATAAAGCCAAAAGTCAAAGAATAAAATAAAAAAGCAAAATGAAGAATAACACACACACATATATATAATTATTTCATTTTTAAAAATTACACACACACGTATGCTCAAGTAACCTAACAGTAGTGGTGAGTCTGCAGCTCCTTTTGCTCACAGGTAACATCTCACTGGCTCAGTTCAGTTCCACCTTGCTCAGGGAGTGACATTCTCACTCTAGGTTCCCTTCCCTCCTTTCAAGGGGCTTTATAGTTTGAGCCACAGGCAGGTTGAACCCATGACGTGTTCAATGGGGAGAAAGGGATCCCTGGGAGAGCTCATCCCAAGTCGCTTCCTAATGCTCTCAGATCCTTTGCTATGAAAGATATATGCCATGGTCTCTCATACAACTATTTCTCCTCTAATGCATTTGTAGTGGTTACTTTGGATTCTCTCTCTTTTCTCCATCCACTGGGACAATCTAATCTAGAATCCTGAAGTTGAAAAACTAGAACTGCAAGAATGCCTCAAAAAAGAAAATTAAGCTCTTAACAAAACTTTGTTTCTGCTTCATTAATACGAGCAAGCAACTCTGGGCAAAATCAATCACTATCTCCTCTCTGCTCCTGCAGTACCCTGCAAATACCTCAATTACGCTTTATGTATTGTATTACTGATCTTTGTCTGTAACTCTCATTGAACTGATCACTCCTTGAAGAGAGAGACATATTTTTCATCTTTGTACTCTCAGTGTCTAGAGCAGTAGACAGGCAGGCAGTGATTGTTTAAATGCAGACAATCCGTGGTAAGGGGAAATCTAAGCAAATGGTATTGCATTGACCCAGTGGAATATAAGTCCCCCGACTAAGACATGGTTTGTGCCTGTAACATGCATTCCATCTAGGAGAGAAGTTATGGCCTATACAAGTATAGTTTTAAAAACAAGGGAGTATATAATAAATGTCAAAAGGTAAATTTAAGTAATAGTTAACATTTAATAGACATTGATCATGTGTCAGGTATTGTGCTGTTTCCCCATATGCTTTAACCCATCTGGTTTTCACAATAAGCTCACAAGGTGGGTCTTGTTATTCTATTTTCACAGTGAAGGTAACTGGACACATAGAGGTGAAATAACTTGCCCAAGGTGACAGAGATAGCAAGTGGCAGATCCGGGATTTGA